GCCAGAAGAGGGCACCAGATCTCACTACAGATGGTTGTGAGCCACCATGTGGTTGCTGGGAATTGAACTCAGAACCTTTGGAAGAACAAGCAGTGCTCTTAACCTCTGAGCCATCTCTCCAGCCCCCAGTATTTGATGAATATTAAAGCTGCATCTCAATGCTTTTATACACAAGAATGTACCTTGCTCTGGCAGCTAAACTTTGTAATTTAAGAGCCACCCAGGTGAAAGTCACCAGAAACTGCGATGTTCATTCCTTGTGATGCAGCAAGAATGACCTAGGCAAAGGGCTTGGAACAGCTTCTGACTCTATGAGTCTCCACCCTTTGGGGGTTGAAAACCTCTTTACAGGGCAGCCTAGGACCACCTGTGTGTCAGATGTTTACATTGAGATTCCCAACAATGGCAAAACTGCAGTTATGAAATAGCATTGGGAAAGTTGAGAACCAGTGACTTGGAGAATGTTTCTCCTTCCTCAGGGTCTATTCAGGCTTAAGAATGTATGCCCAGCCCCTGGTCTTCTCTAAGTTTGTTAAGCTTAAGCTATTTGGATAACTGAGTCATATAAACATTTTATATTGATACTAGAAGGAGCTTAGGGCCTTTCCACTAACATGGCCATTGTGTTTTGGTTTCTTTACTGAACCCATATTTGATACTAGAAGAGCTTCAACTTAAAGTCATTGTTTTTGAGGCTACTTATTGTAGACTGTTGGAAAACATAAGTAAATAGTCAGTCATCTTGTAAATAATCAAGTTCTTTAACTGTAGTCATGCTAAGTACTGTTGTAATTAATTACAGGGATAAGCTTTACTCAGTCCCTTACATATGCTTTTAGGGTTGAACTTAAAACAAATAACTAGAAACAAAGTTTGTCTATTCAGATATACCTAGACAGCCCTCAGAGATCTGCAGAATATGGCATTTAAAATGTTGATCTAAAATCTTATTATATGAGACAGACTTCCAGATCCTAGCAGTGACCCAAGGTCTCCAAAGAAGATTATGTACGGGCACCACAATGTCTCTGCCTGAATTATTACCATAGGGTAAGATGCCCTCAATGCAGTGCCTGCAACAGGGACCCAGCCCAGATTGTGGACATGCAGCAGGACACTGGAGAATTGATTGCACCCCTTTTGCCTAGACAAAGAAGATCAGTCTTCCCTGTGTCTCTCTTCCATAGGAAAAGCTCTCCCTTATGGGCCTGATGACCGAAGAAGATTGTTGCTGTTCTGATACTTGTGCCCCCAACGTTATGGAGTCCTGGATATGGACTGGTCCCTGTTGTTTATAGAATTGGAAGCTGTTTGGTCTGCACTCAGATGTAATTTATCCTTCTCAGGTCTCTGATAGTCCTGACAGGCTAGCTATAACTTTGACAGCTTGGCAGCATCAGAGAACCAGATCCTTCCACAAGGCTATAGCCAGCTTGTTAGCTCATTTTTAAGAAAATGTTCTGGAATATAAAAGTTTAAATAAGTCATAAAGGTTTAAATATGGGTCTAAAAAGGGTCTGAGGATATGAAAGCTTATATGCTTTGAAGATCTCAGAAAATGATTTTAGATATAAATGCAAGTTGTAAAGAGATAAATAAATGATTTAGATTATGAGAAATGTTTTGGATTGCTCTCCCCTTCTATGATATAACAGTTCAGAGACTAACATTTAATAGAGTTATGATAAGCTGGTAGAGCAATGACTACTTACTGTCCAGTTACAAGCTCAACATTTTAGATTTATTTTGGTTGTCATCTAAATATAAACTTAAAGATGCTTCTCATCAGGCCAAATACATCTTTGTCCAATTTATTACTGGCTCTCTTGACAGAAGGAAAGTGCACAAGCTTCTAACCCAAATCTGTAGTTCTTGCTAGGACTTGAAGTTATGAGTCCACTTCTGCTGTTTTACAGATATCAATCACCAGCGTTGTCTATGATGTGGATTTCAGGACAGATTAGTAATACATTAGTAATACTAATGTATCTAAAACTTTTATGTCATTTTGTAAGATGGTTCGTGTAGGCCTCAGAGTCATAAAACCTGGATCCACTTCACAGGGTTGGAAGGACTCCAGATAAGTACAGCTTAAATTTTCCCTACTTGTCTATTCCTAAGGATGGTATTTTTCCTCTCCTGGTCTTAGGACTCCTGCTCTTCCCAGTTACTAAGAAGGTAGGCCTAAAAATTCCAAATAAGTTCATAATTTTTTTTTTTTTTTTTGGAGCTGAGGATTGAACCCAGGGCCTTGTGCTTGCTAGGCAAGTGCTCTACCACTGAGCTAAATCCCCAACCCCAAGTTCATAAATTTTAACTTTTGTTCCTAGTTTAAATTTGTCTCCATTTGGCTGGCAGACATCTACAAGCTTCAGTTGCTGACTACACTGCTCTGGATGACTATGAGCTCTGGACTTGCTAAAAGCTGACGTAGACCAGCCCAGCCAATGTGATTGTTCCCTGTCTCTACAGCTGGTTTAGATAGCCATATGCTTCTGACAGACTCCCCATTGCCAGCCTTTGACTAGCCTTTCAGACTTTTTGGGGCCCTGACAACAGCACCCCAAATGTCAGCTCAAAGCAGTACCAGAAGAGACTATGCTGTCTATTGTTCCCTGCCCAAAATAGGTTGAAATGCTGGGTCAAAAGGAAACTCTCTGGCATAGGGGCAAGATGGCCAACTATAATGCCCATTGACAAACCAGGAAATAGGTTCAGAGTTGTCAACTGGTAAATTTATTAACTAAAATGGCTCTGCAATAAGATATGATACTTGACCATCTTTGTGCAGCACCAAAGAGGAATTATATAAATTATAATCTGGTTGTACTCAAAGATCAGAACTTAAGAATGGCAATAGATACAGATGTCAATGCCTTATAAAAATCTGTTTGCTAATAGTTCTTAGGTCCCAATACCCTTGAACCCCGGGACAGGTAGGACTCATGATTGAGTCCTGTCTTTGGTACTTGTGAAGGGGAGGATATGGGGGTCCCAAAACAGCTTAACCACACAGCTACCATGACAAGCTTAGAGGCCCAGGCACAGCTTCTGGCAGGCAACACCTGGACCCAGGAAAATCTATAAGCTGACCCCATCCAGTGGGGCCTTCATCTGAGGAAATACCTGACATTCCAAACATTCCCTATACCCCTAGACAAGCGTCAGCCAATCAGGGTCCTGAGCCTGGAAATCCCCTCACCCCAACCTCTGCTATGATAAAAACCCCACCCTGCCTGGGCTCAGGGCTCTCTGTTCTCACTGCTGCATCTGACAGAGAGTCCAAACTCTGAGCTTGGAAATAAAGGCTCTTTGCTTTTACATATGGGATTCGGTCTCTGTGGTGGTCTTTTGGGAGTCCCCACCATCTGGGCCTAACACTTCAGAGGCTAAATCTATATCATCATGGCAGGGAGCATGGCAGCTGGCAGGCAGGTGCTGGAGGTGTATCTGAGAGCTCACATCTTATCCAAAAGAAGGAGGCAGAAAGAGAGAGACTGGGTCTAGAGTGTTTGAATCCTCACAACCCACCCTCCATGGCATGCCTCCTACAGCAAGACTGCACCTCCTGACCCTAAATAGTCTACCAACTGGAAACCAAACATTCACATACATGAGCCATGGGGGCCATTCTCATTCAAACCACCACATCCCACTCCCTGGCCCCAGAGGCTCATGGCCATATCATAATTCAGAGTATTTAATCCAACTTCGAAAGTCCCCATAGTCTTTCATAGTCTCAACACTGCTTTAAAGTCCAAAGTCTCTTCTGTGACTCAAGGCAATCTATTAACTATCACCCTGTAAATGCAAAAGTCAAATTATACTTCCAACACACAATGGCACAGAGTATACACACTATTCCAAAAGGGAGGAAACACTAGACCAAAGCAAGGCTGAAACCCAGCTGGGCACACTCCAAATCCTCTCTATCTGATGTCCGAGGGCTCAGCTGGCTCTTCAAATCTCCAGCTCCTTCCAGCTTTGTTGACTGAGCACACTGCTCTCTCTTGGGCTGGTCCACTCCCTGTCTGCACTATCCTTGGCAAGTGTATGTCTCGGGCATCCACAACATCTTGGAATTTCCAGCACAATCCAGGCTTCACCTTCACAGCTTCACACACTGGCCTCGCTGGGCCTCCACACAGGGACTCCCCTGTCACACACCTGGCCTCAGCAGCTTCCCTTACTGGAAGGAGATTCCACAACCCCTTTTCTCCTGTGTCCTTCATGACTCTAAATCTAGAACCACACAGTGGAAGATGCCAAGTTCTTTGCCTGCTTCGGATGCAGCCTGGCCTGCTTGACTAACGTTTGCATCCGTTTCCATTTGTCGTTACTCTTTACCAACAGACCATTCCTCAGGGCCGTTCTTTCCACAAATTGCAGGATCAGCTGGCTGGAGTCTCACCCCAGGCACCACACTCCCTTTATTGCACTTCACATCAGACTTCTCTTTAAACTCCTCATCTCCTTGAGCACAGGACTCGATCCAACTTTACATTTCCTGGTGCTCTTGTGTTTCTCTTTGCCCTGCTTGCTGGCTTTCACCGTGGATCTGTATAAGTGATCAATAAAGACCACGTGGCGCAGTCAGTGCTAGGCTGTCTTGAAATCTCCTCTGCTAATGATGCTAGTCCAGAGCTCTTCCATTTAGCTTCCGGCAGGATTTTTTGACAAGGGCAGGAAGCAGCCACATTCTTTGCCACAATATCGTAAGAATGGTCTCTAGGTCAATAGCTAATATTGTTTCCCCCGGAAACCTCTTTAGTTGGGCCTCCCTAGTCACACTACTGTCTTCTGAGACACTCCTGGAACGGCCCATCAAGTCTCACCCGTAGCATTCAACTGCTTTTCTAGTCAAAGGTCCTAGAGTCGTCCATGTGTCCCCAACAAGCCGCAGGTTCAGGCCTGTCACAGCAGCACTCCAGTCCCTGGTACCAGCTTCTGTCGACGTCACTGTTCTGTTGCTGTGAAGAGTCACCATGACCAAGGCAGTATAAAAGGCTTATAAAAGGGAGCATTTAATTGGGGTCTTGCTTACAATTTCAAAAAGTGGGTCCAGGGCTATCAAGGCAGGGATCACAGTAGCAGGCAGCAGTCATGGCGCTGGAGCAACAGGTTCGAGCTCACGTCTGATGAACAAAACGGAAGCAGAGAGAATGTGTTTCTGGCATGGGCTTTTGGAACTTCAGAGCCGGTCCCCAGTGACGCACCTCGCAGTCCTTTCTAAACAACCTTCCGGCTGGAAGCCAAACATTCAATTACATAAGCCTATGGGCTCCCCTGGGCCACGGCCAGAAATGTCTTTCAGGAACAGGGTAAAAAGCAACGTGGGCTGGTGGGGCAGCTGGAGGAGGGTGTCCCTCTCTCGAGGAGACCGGCTAATGTTAAAGCTACCATAGGGAGCACAGAGTAGATCAAGAGGCCGCTCCTGCTCCTCAACCCAGCAGCAGCAAGCATGGTGGCCAGAGGCTGGGGAGCTGGGGTCCTCCCTCCTGATACTGCAGCCTGGGGAGCTAACAGAAACAGAGTCGAGTGTCGGGGGGCTGAACCCTGGTAGCATGGCAGTGTTACTGGAATTTGTGGTGGTTTTAATGAGAATGCCGCTCATGTTTTTGCATACTTCTGTCTCCAGTGGAACTGTTTGGAAGGATTAGGAGGTGTGGCCTTGTGGGAATAGGCGTGTCCATGTTGGAGGAGGCGTGTTGCTAGGAATGAGGTTTCAAAAGCCCAGTGTCTGTCTGTCTGTTTCTATCCATCACCTATCTATCTGTCTGTCTGTCTGTTTCTATCCATCATCTATCTATCTATCTATCTATCTATCTATCTATCTATCTATCTATCTATCTATCTATCTATCTATCATCTGTCTGTCTGTCTGTCTATCTGTCTATCTATCTATCTATCTATCTATCTATCTATCTATCTATCTATCATCTGTCTGTCTATCTATCTATCTATCTATCTATCTATCTATCTATCTATCTATCTATCTATCTATCTGTGTGTCCCTCTCTGTCTGTCTGTCTCTCTTTTTATCTATGGATCAGGATGTAGCTCTCAGTTACTGCTCCAGCACCATGTCCGCCTGCAGGCCACCATGCTCCTCACCATGATGATAATGGACTAACCCTCTGAAACTGTAAGCAGGGCCCCAATTAAAATGTTTTCCGTTATAATGGTTCCCTTGGTCATAGTGTCTCTTCACAGCAATAGAACAGTAGCTAAGACAGAATTGAAACATCTCATGAGGGAGGCCCATGAGACTCAAGAAGTCACATTTCTGGGAAATTAGAAACTTGGGAAGATTCTGGAAGACCCCTCTAGATTTATAGGAGTGAACAGCTGCTGGGGGAGGGGACTCTGACCAGCTGTGGGGAGAAGAGATTCTCAGGCCCGGGGAGCTGCCGCAAGCTGTGCAGAGAGCTCCAGGGCTGCAGCTTTTGGGAATTATCACCACACTTGGGTTTCACAGTGGAGGGGCTGCCTTTGAGTCACCCCGATTTCCTTAAGTTAACCCCCCCCCCGGCATAATCCCATTAGTAACCCCAATAAAAATTCATTGGTTCACCAAGTTGGACTTCAGGGCCACCTTTATTTTAGTCTGTCACGGGTTCGTGTTCTGGGGTGACTAAATGTGTGTGTCGTGTCTCCCTAGGAAGTCTCTCATACAACAGCCCTTCCCAGGGGTCCCGGATTGTTGAGTGTGGGGTGCCCACCCCAGGCAAGCCCATGAGAATTTGGAAGCATGGGTGGATCTGGAGATGTTGGGGTGTCAGAGGGTATAAGAGGATGGCCAGTCTGCTGTAGAGCACCAAGGAAGTCAGCCCGGTGGCTCACCCATGGCCACAGTATGTCATAGTGTGTCATAGTATGTCATAGTGCAGGCATGCCACACACAAACACACAGGAGAGTGCACCTCGGGCTCCAAGTCTATTTTCACGTTGAGACCCTTGGCTGCAGATGCGTGGAGCTATTTCTAGGCTCTCAGTTCTGCTCCATCGGCCTATGTGCTTATTTTGAGGCCAGAACCATGTTGTGCTGGCTACTGTGACTTTGCTATATATAAAACAGTGTGATGCCTGCAGCTTTGGTCTTTTGTGGTTCCATAGGAATTTAAAGTCTACTTCCACCCACTACTGGATCTGGATCCGAAAGAAATGACAGCAGCACATTCCTGTTGACTGCAGCCAAAGTGTAGAGTCAACCACTTGTCCATTCCAGATGCCTGGATGAGGTCCATGTGGTTTGTAATACTTCCTGGACATTAAAGTTGAAATCCTGTCGTTTGCGACACTTTAGATGAACCTGGAGGATGTTCTATTAAGTGAGATAAGCCAGACACAGAAAGACAAACACTGTTCTCCTCCACATGAGAGGCCAAGAAACAGACCCCTAGACGCGGTGAGCAGGATCATGGCTATGGATGGTCAACGGTTATTAGTGGTAGCCAGACTAGAAGACGTTCTGGGTTCTATTTCGAAGCAGGATGAACATGGTCAACAAGACCACAGCATGGCTTCCCAAAGAGCTGCAAAACCTGACAACTGTTTGAGGTGCTGGGTATGCTAATTACCCTGATTTGATCACTATACAACATCTCTAAACATCCATTGTGCACAATATCTAAACATCTAAATATGCAGAATAACTTTGTGTTGGTTACAAATAAAGCCTTAAAAGATAAGCAAACAGAGCCTTGCTCCAGCCCCCTGCCCCGGTGCAGCGCACATCCTCCAGCGTACTGTCTGTCTGCTCCACTCACGGCTGTCTCCTTTTTGGCTGTCAAGTGGCAGCAGGCTTCAGTAGCCACCGAGAAAGAGAGGAAGGAGGACGGAGAGGAAGGAGGACGGCGCAATGGCTGCTCTAAAACCCCAACACCGTCAGGGAGCCGGAGAGGATGTCGGGCATATTTCTAGCCAGTCTCCTTTCCTGAGCACACGGATGCACGTGTGTGTGAGTACACAAGGGAGGACAGTTGTCCCAGGCCATGCGTGTGAGGCACATGCACACCCACCTTTAGAAGAAAGAGACACATGCACACAATGGAGGGCACCTTCTGCAGGACCCTAATGTCACAAGTACTGTCCCTGAGGCGTTTGCACCAGGCCTTACCTGTCTGCCACCTGCATGCCCTCCTTCCTTCCTGGGAATTCTCACTTGTCCTGTTTTTGTATTACTGGTGTTCCAGTTCAGTGTCTAGCCATATCACCACAGGGGCATAAACATCCCAGAATAAGCCTGGGACAGCTCCAAGTGGCAGATGCCGGACAGGCCATATCAGTGACATGGCTCTCCATTTGCTGAAGGGCCCTTGGGCAGATTAGGAGACTTTAGCAGCTGTGCCCACTAAGTGCCAGTGGGGGTGGGTGAAGCAACGACTATTGGGAGGTGCCCAACACACGTTCTGGATGGATGTCCTGGGAGGGCATGATCGGTGGGGGAAGGGGTGGGCGGACAGAGAGAGGGAAGGAGAGAAGGAGGCAAGCAGGTAGTCAGGCTTGGGGGTCTGAGGGATTCTGTCCAACAGGATCTGTTGACACTTTCCTCCTCCCCACATGGGACAACTCAGCCTTCAGTCAGACTCAGCCACTGCTCCATACAGGCAACAGGACACCCTGTTGGCAGCCGCCGCCGCCGGGCTAGGTGGACAGCCCTGCACAGCGGGATGGGGAATGCTTGGAGGAGCCTCAGTCCCACAGAACCCAGTTTTTGTGACAGTGGCCACCATTCACTGAGCTCTGACAGCAGGGTAGTCTCCATGGGGTCACAGCGATGCTCAGTTCACTTGTTCACAGCAGGAGTGAGCATGGGGAACCCGGGGCTTTCTCTAGTAAACAATGGACCAGAGGAGGCCAGAGTGCAAGCAGGTCTGCAGGCTCTTTCCTACCCTGGTCTCCAGGTTCCAGCTTTCCCAGTCCTCTACAGCCTCGCTAGGGTCTCCCTACATCCTCCCTACATCCTCCCTACATCATCTCTACATCCTCCCTACATCCTCCCTACATCCTCCTTACATCCACTCTACATCCTCCCTACATCCTCCCTACATCCTCCCTACATCCTCCCCATAACCTGCCTACATCCTCCCTACATCCTCCCTACATCCTCTCTACATCCTCCCTACATCCTCCCTACATCCTCCCTACATCCTCCCCACATCCTCTCTACATCCTCCCTACAGCCTCCCTATGACTACCCAGCACGTGCACCCCCCCCCACGTCCTTTTCTGGGGTCTCCACTCTCCTAAGTCCCTCCCTCCCTCAGCCCTGCCTCCCACCTCTGGCCCCTGCTCTGGGTCTGGCCTCCTTGGGTCCTCTACCTCCTGCTCCAGGAGTGTCATGTGTGTCCAGGGGGCCGGAAGGCTACAACCCGGAGTAAGGGCGAGGCTCTGGTCCAGCCTGCCCCTGTCCCTGGTGTTAGCCTCACTTTAAGCACACCCCTGTGTCCCGCATCTGGGGCTGCTCAACTTGAACGGTAGGAGCAAGCCGCTGTGAAAGGACCCTCCTCCGGCCTGGAGGTCCCTGCTCAGGAGACAAGGTGGGATGGCCTTAGATTCCTGAAGCTCTACCACGGGGAACACAATCGGGACTCGGCAGGATTTCCCGTCTCGGAAACCCATCCTTCCGGACACTATCCTGCCTCCCTTGCCCCCTACTGGGGAGAGGAGTCAAATACAGCTGCTAACCTTCGAGGGCTGCTGAACCTCTGCGCCCTCCTCCTCTGCAGCCATTAGAGACCGCCACGCTGCCCACCGGGCCCTGCTGACCCGGCAAGGCTAAGGATCGGCCTGGCCTAACAACCGACTGCACTTCCAATCCCACAGATGGCCAGACCCGAAGTGTCAGAGGCGGCCAGCAGAGGGCAGCAGAAGGCCATGGAACCATCGCTCCCGCATCCCGGAGCAGCTTTGTCCCACGTCTAGGACGCCCGGACTCGAGCCCAGCTCTGCAGGAGAGTATCAAGCCTCACGTCCTATACCTACCCCAATACCAACTGCACCTTCTCACTGCCCTCTGAACTTTCTGGCCAGTTCAGAGCCCCCTCAGGCCACCACAGGAACACGTGAGCCCCAGGGCTCAGCCCTAACCTTCCCTAACATATGTCCCCCACAGCATGCAGCCTGAGATCTGGATGACAAGTGAGCCGATGGGACCACATATAACATCTGTGGACATCACAGCGCGGCTCCTCCAGAGTGGTGGTCCTGTGCAAGCCTGTGGCCACACACTGAACTAGGTGCAAGCACTCTTACACCCTTCCCTCTGGGGGCCCCCCATATTACCTTGGACCCAGCATCATGAGGACTGCGGCTGTGGTTAGTCTCTTGCCATTATCCAGGAAAGGGGATCTCACTCCTTCAAGATAGAAGGTTCTAGTTCCTTCCCGTTAGCCTACAGGAAGAGGTCTTAGACTTTGTCAGAGACCTCCCATAAGCCCCTGACAGTCTTTCTTTGGTGACCATATGTATAACTAGTCCTCGCTCCAAAGTGACCACTCCTCAGTCCTGCTCACTCACCTAGACCCACACATCCTGGCTAGAACTGTCATACCAAAGCCTCACCACTGGCCATGACTCCCCATGGCTCTGCCAGTTTCTACCTTTCCCAAAAGCTTCCTGCCCTGAAGTCCCTCACTGTCCTGTTCCCAAACCTCTTTTCTTAGTAAGGATTTCTATTGCTGTGATGAAACACCACAGCCATAAAGCAATTTGGGGAGGAAAGGGCTTATTTGTTTACATTTCTGTATCATAGTGTGCTATCAAAGGACGTTGAGGCAGGAACTCAAGGCAGAAACCGGAACACAAAGAGCTGATGCAGAGGCCATGGAGGAGTGCTGCTCACAGGCTTGCTCCCCATGGCTTGCTCAGCCTGCTTTCTTATACCATCCAGGACCATGAGCACTGTCCCCCGTGGGCTGTGAGCAACAGTACGGACGTGCTCAAGGAGCTAAGGCCCTGCCAGAGCTTGCTTCCAGAAGCTGTGGGCAGTGGCTGGAGTCCATTCAAAATATGTATGATGCTGACACCATGGACTGGGGTATGGAGAGACCACAGCCGTTCCTGAATAGTGACCAACAGGAGGAACTCTGAATGCCCCTCTGTATACTTAGAACTTGCTGTGTTCCCCGCCTCCCACCATCCTCTCCCAGCCCCCTCCTCCCAGCCCTCCCTGGTCCCCTGAGTCCTCCCTCAGATCCCCACATTTAGCACATCAAAGACTAAAGGGATCCCAGCCAGTAGCTCTAGAGACCCAGGCCTTCACACCAGTGAAGCGCTAGGCATTCGGACAACACATGACACAGTCTGGTGAGCACTGGAGAGGAGAGCTGAGGTAGCTGGGGCTTCAGGCTCCAGGCTCCAGGCTCCAGGCTCCCAAAAGGCTTGAGCACTCCTGAGGCTCCAGAGCTCTGGCCTGAAGTGGAAAGGATGGTATCTTTCATCAGTTCCCTCAGCCCTGTGATTGGATTTTTCACAAGTCTGAGAACCTTGCAAGTGGGTGACCTCCAACACTCTCTGAGTGTTGCCTTAGCTAGTGGCAGAGAATACCGAGCACAAGCTGGTGGCTCAGACAGTGCTGGTTTCAGATGGCCAGTGCGGTTGGTTCGCCCATCTCACGGAGTAGCATTGTATTTCATGCATGCTTGAGGAAAAAGGGATAAGGATGAAGGGGTGGATAGCAGGTGGATAAAGGGCTCTCTCTCTCTTCCTCCCCCTCCCTCCCTCCCTCTTCCCTTCCTCCCTCCTTCCAATCTGGGATTAGACCCTTTAAAAAACTGAAATGCAGGCTGGGTGGTAGTGGTGCACGTCTTTAATCCCAGCACTGGGGAGGCAGAGGCAAGTGGATCTCTGTGAGTTCAAGGCCAGCCTGGTCTACAAAGTGAGTTCCAGGACAGCCAGAGCTACACAGAGAAACCCTTGTCTCAAAACAAACAAACAAACAACGTGAAATTCAATATCGGCTTCAGGGTGCCAGTTCTCATTGCATCCTGCATCTGGGGTCAGAACTCCCCCGATACACGGCACCAGGAATGTTGTCTCCCGTGTCGTGGAGTCTCAGAGAACAGGGTTTGAGCCCTGAGGGGAGAGGTATGGAGAAAGGTGAAGCCAAAGGTTAGAAACCAGGACTGGGCTACAGCCTCCTCACCTGTGACAGGAGGGTCATTGCCACCAGTGCTCAAGGTCCCCTGTGTGCACAGCCAGGGTGGCATAAGGAGAGGAGGATTCCCGCGCTGGACTAGCTCCGCCCTTGAGCCGCCCACATTCCCAGCCATCCCGATGTTCTCAGCTGTCTGCCTCTGTGCCTTTGTACAGGTGCCTCTTCCTGTGTCTGGCTAATTCTAGTCTCTCTCTTTTAAAATATTTTATTAACACTTGAGAATTTCATGCATGCTTACAATGTTTGTTTGTTTTTAATCATATCCACCCTCTAACTCCTAGATCCAACCCTCTCCCGACATTGGTCTCTTGTTTGAGATTTTTCCTTAGAATTCTCTTTTTTAAAATTTGTGTGTGTGTGTGTGTGTGTGTGTGCGTGTGCGTGCACACGTGTGCACCTGAGTGTATATGCATACCACACGTGCATAGGTACTAGCAGAGACCGATGTGTGATGGGAACCAAACTCAGGTCTTTTCTAGGCTCCACTTCTGCACCAGCATGCTGTCGGGGGGCGGGGGGGGGGTCTCATCTCCTCACCGCTGGTCAAGTAGGTAGCCTTCATGGCCCCTGTCCTGGTACATGTGCATAGACACTGGTGTGGTGGATGGTAAAGGCTCCTTCACTTGGGGGCAGCTCTCTGAGTACTGAGTACCAGCCCTGCCCGTCACCTGTCCATGGGTCGGTGCTGTGCCTGGTGGGGACTGGTTCTGAGCCCCGGGCTGTGGGGTAAGGCTACACCCTCAAGGACAGTGCCGGAGTACAGCCCGGTGCTCCCATGTTCCCTTACCATCACCAGCTTTCCTTCCTCTTCCCAGCCTTGCGAAGCCACTGCCTGCTCACCAGCCCAGCCCTTTGTGCCCACGTGTTGCCATGGAGATGGGCCATTCACAAGCCTGGTACTTCAAGGCTTCCTACCTCTTCTGGTGGGCTAGGGAGTGAGTAGCTGGAATGACAGTCTGAGTTCCCAACAGAAACAGCCTCCTCTCTTTGTCCGGTCGAATGCCACACCCTGCCAAGGCGGGCGTATCGCACCCAGTAGTTCTCACTC